ACTGAGTTGCAGACTCGTGCTTCATCGGAAAGGCCCGATGAGTACTCGAACGACTACTCGAATGATGATCCGATCGACGTTTATGAAGGAGATGAAGCTGACCAAGATGAGTGTGACAGCGATTGTGGTTCAAGAGACGAGATGCAAGGTGAGGATACTTATTCTGACCAAGACGAGAGATTGGTTGCAGCTGCCAACGAGAATGAACGGCGAAATGCTGCTAACGGGACATTCGCACGAAGTGGCAAGCGTCCACAAAACAATGGACAACAGTCAAGCGGATTTGGGCAAGGTGGATTCCGACTTACAACTCAATCTGGATCGAGGTTCAACGATAACCGCGGCGGACGCGGGTTCCAGAGATCAAGTTATGGTCCATGCAGCATGTGGTGGACAGAACCATTCCACGCGCTTTTGTTTCCGAAGATGCCGGTTGTGCCAGCAAATGCACGACTTCAGCAAGTGCGAGGCCTTCGACGAGCTGGCCAAGATCCTCCGGACTAACGTTGACGAGAAGAACATTAGTCCCGAGCTCCTGAAGTTTGTCTTCAGTGGGCATTTAAACTAGGCTGCCCGCCAACCGAGACTGGGTTGGTCCCTACCGGGCAGCTACAGTCAGCCGACCTGGTGATAGACGCGGAATGTTTGCATGCGTTCACCGGAATGTGTGAATGGCCTGAAGACAACAACAACAATGATGAAAACGAGAAAAATGTGGAGTTCGATGGAGAATGTGGCGTATGTCTCGACGGAGGCACATTGCATGAGAATACGAAAAATACTACAACGGAAAAAGTGGTGAACAATGACTGGCTGGTGAGTATCTGTGAAGCGAATGAGGCCGTACCAAGACGGTGAAGTTACTCCCACGGGAGCGAATGGGATGGTGGTCGTCGCAGAGATTCGACCGACGAATGAGGATGCGAGCTCTCGTGCGTGGAGCAGTGAATGATGTGAGGACTTCGGTCCTCTTAGACACCGGCGCGAACGTGAGCATAATCACGACGAAGCTGGCGCGTCGACTACAACTGAACCCCATCCAGGAACATGGTCGACAACTCCAGGTGCAAGGAATTCAAGAAGGAAAGATGTCAACGACAACTCGAGTGAAAGCCAAGGTTACTCTGGGATGGAACACAGTTTATGAGTTCGAGTTCTGGGTCATGGACCACAGTGCTGGATCAGAAGTGGTGCTTGGCACCGACTTTATGATACCAGCTGGAATACGCTTGGATCTGTTCAACGCAACGGCCAAGCTTCCAGGGGAAGAAATAGTGCCACTGGTGAAATCGCTAAGCGCTGACGAAGATTCAGCTGAAGGGATGCATGTCACCGGCGGACCCACGATGAGCCTGCAGATACCTGCAGGAGAGTGGATTGAGTTCCGGTTGCAGAAGCGAAAACCATCGTTAGGAACTCACGGTGTGTGGGTGCAGCGCACTGCCGCGCTTATTCCAACGATCGTTTGGTTCAGGAAAGCGCAGCCAACTCTAGTTCGGGTGACGAACATCACTGACAAGGTGATGTACTGTCCGGCACACCTTGATGTGATAGCCTGGGTACCCCGAAGGCTTTATGCCAAAGCAAGCCAGCTACGTGCCGATTGACGCTCGGAAGTACGAGCAGTGGCAGGTGTTGGCTTATTGCTGGTTCGCATGATGAAACTTGGTTCAAGCTAGAGTGTGAGCTGTACGAACGATGGCTGGCATCACAGCCACCCTTGGTCGAACGACAGCCCTACACATGGCCGACCAGCATATTGCAGAAACTCGACGAGTACTCAAGTGATGGTGACGATTCAATATCACTAGACGAACAATGGAGCATGGCGCCTGTGCCTCGGAGCGTCGACAGTGCGACCGACGGTTCGCCAGTTGACGATGATCCGGTTAGCGCTGCAGTCGCATTAGGAGCTTCAACTCTTACTTGAACTCTTACTTCAACTGAGAGTTCGGATGTTGACCAAGATTGCAACAATCCACCTACCGAAGCTCACGGCGAAGAGACATCACCTGAGAGGGCTGTTGCCGATCTGGAGCACACGTTCATGTGTGTCATGCACGTACTATCCACAGAGGGCAACGGCGATCCAGCTGACGACAACTACGCCGTGCACGAAGCGAACTGCATCTCGCTGTAGGACTATGCTCAAGAATTGGCATTCTTGCCTGACTTGACAAAGCCCTCTGTCACGGAGCTTGATTACACCGCTCCGAATGTGAAGAACCCGAGTTTCGTCGGCGGCCAGCAACGACGACTCGATAAGGTGTTTAAAAAGCACGAGGCGATCATGATTTCGAGCGGTAATGCATTACCACCTCCTGTGTATGGGGTGGTATGTGACATTGACGTCCAAGGGCATGCAAATTCCGCTGAGGCACTTGCAGAAGCTCTATGAGCTACTCAAAGGACTGTTAAAGGCTGGCCTCATTGCGTTCTCGGACAGTCCATGGGCGTCGCCCATCGTGATTGTACTGGAAAAGAACGGCCAAGGTATTCGACTATGCATCGATTACAAGATGGTCAACGCAGTTACAGCAATCATGGAATATGCCATGCCTCTGGTCGACGACCTGTTGACCGAGCTGGAGAACTATCTGTGGTTCTGCTCGTTGGATGCTGCTAGTGGCTTTTGGACAATCATGATGACGATGCGTGCGCGTAAGATTTCAGCGTTCGTTTGTGCGTTAGGGCACTTTGAGTGGCTCCGAACGCCATTCGGATTGAAGAATGCTCCCATGATCTACCAAAGGATGATCGATAATGCACTATGTGGCTTTGTACAGCCTAAGGGTGGATGGGAGCGATATGCTGAACGAATGAAACTCGCTGAAGAAGCAGCCAAGCACCAACGATCACTCGACGATTACTCAGATTTTACCCAGACGACGACTCGGACCAAGTTTGAGGCTAATCGACAGGCGTCGTCGGAACTGGATCCGGTGTTACGAATGGTGAACGATCCATACGCAGACATGTTTGCGACTAATGAACCAGACGAATCGTCGCTAGTCCCAGTGTTCCAGCGACGATCCTTCGTAGACGACATTTGTTTCGGTGGCACTACATTTGACGACTGCTTGGATACACTGGATAAGTTGCTGGCGCGGTTTGAAGAATGCAGGATCAGTGTCAGCTTTACTAAAAGCTTCTTTTGTCAGTCCAAGGTCGACTTCCTCTCTCACGAGGTGGCGCCTGAAGGAATACGGGCTGACCCCAAGAAGATGACAGCTATTACCAAGTTACCGTTTCCCAAGTCGAAGTAAGGAATGCAACAATTCCTCGGCTCTCTCAACTACTACAGTCGCTTCATCCAAGACTTCGCAGTCTATGAAGCCGCGCTATATCAGTTGAAGGAAGACGATTTCTCCGAAGGGGGTGACTTGGCTGCGGCCGAGTTTACTGCGCTCCAACGAAGAGTAGCTGAAGCTCCTATTCTACGGCATTTCGATGCGAAGAAGGAGGTGCACATCACGCTGTACACCAATGAGTGGGCGTTAAGTGCGACCTTGATGCAGATACATGACGACAAACTACATCCTGTTCGGTTTTGCGGACGAGTCCTCAAGGACGCCGAGATGAACTATCACTCGGCCGAGAAGGAAGTCCTAGCGTTGTTGCTACTGCTCAAGGTGTGTTACACCCAGCTGGCGGGAAAGACGCTGCATGTGTACACCCGATTCTCTACACTTGGATGGGTTCACAAATCTAAGTCGCTTTTCGGTCGGGAAGTGCAGTTTGCGGTGCTGCTGTCACCATGGCAATTGGAAGTGCAGCGAGTTCGAGAGAAGGACTGCGTATTCACTCAGTTGCTCCAGT